TTGTTTGCTTGGTTGCTTGCTTGCTTGCTTGCTTGCTTGCTTGCTTGAGTGTGTGTTTGTTTGTTTGGTTGGTTGGTTGGTTGTTTGATTGTTTGTTTGTTTGTTTGTTTGTGTGTTTGTTTGTTTGTTTGTTTGCTCGCTTATTTGTTTGTTTGCTTGCTTGCTTGCTTGATTGCTTTGTTTGTTTGCTTGCTTGCTTGTTTCCTTGGTTGTTTGCTTGCTTGCTTGCTTGCTTGCTTGCTTGCTTGCTTGCTTGCTTGCTTGGTTGATTGATTGATTGTATTGTTTGTGGTGTTTTGTATTGTTTTGTATTGCTTTGTTTTGTTTTGTTTTGTCGTGCTTTGTGTTGCTTTGTTTGTTTGTTTGTTTGTTTGTTTGTCTGTTTGTGTGTGTTTGTTTGTTTGTTTGTTTGCTTGCTTGCTTGCTTGCTTGCTTGCTTGTTTGCTTGTGTTTGTTTGATTGTTTGTTTGTTTGTTTGTGTTTACTTGTTTGTTTGTTTGATTGTTTGTTTGTTGGTTTGTTGGTTTGATTGTTTTTGTTTGTTTGTTTCATTGTTTGTTTGTTTGTTTGTTTTATTGTTTGTGTGTTTGCTTGTTTGGGTGTGTTTGGGTGTCTTTGTTTGTGTCATTGATTGATTGTGTTTGTTTGTGTGCTTCTTTATTTATTTATTCGTTTCTTTACTTATGTCTTTCTATATGTATTTATTTATTTATGTGTGTCCTTCTTTTTTTAGTTCTTTCCTTTTTGACTTTTTCATTTCTTTCTTGTTGGCTTTATTTCGTTCTTTCTTTATGTATTCCTTTTTTCTTGCTTTCTTTCATTGCTTGCTTGTTTGCTTGGTTGCCTTCTTGCTTGCTTGTTTGATTCTTTTTTTGTTTGCTTTCTTTCTTGCTTGCTTGCTTGCTTGCTTGCTTGCTTGCTTGCTTGCTTGCTTGCTTGCTTGTTTCATTTCAGTTGTTGCTTTGCTTCAGTTCGGCTTTTCGTTTTGCTTTCATTCATTTACTTACTTAGTTGTTCATTTGATTGTTTGTTTGTTTGATTGTTGGTTGGTTGGTTTGTTTGTTTGCTTGTTTGTTGGTTGGTTGGTTGGTTGGATTGCTTGTTTGTTTGTTTGTTTGTTTGTTTGTTTGTTTGTTTGATTTGTGGTTGTTTGTTTGTTTGTTTGTTTGTTTGTTTGTTTGTTTGTTTGTTTGTTTGTTTGGTTGGTTGTTTGTTTGTTTGATTGTTTGTTTGTTTGTTTGTTTGTTTGTGTGTGTGTGTTTGTTTGGTTGTTTGTTTGTTTGTTTGCTTGTTTGCTTGTGTTTGTTTGTTTGCTTGTGATTGTTTGTTTGTTTGTTTGTTTGTTTGTTTGTTTGTTTGTTTGCTTGCTTGTTTGTTTGTTTGTTTGTTTGTTTGTGTGTTTGTTTCCTTGTTCTTGCGTGCGTGCGTGTGCGCGTGGGTGGGTGTGGGTCCAGCCAGACAGCCAGACAGCCAGACAAACAGACAGACAAACAAAGGTGTTTGTGTTTCTGTGTTCTTGTGTGTGTGCAATGTGTGTGTGTGCGTGTGTGTGTGTGGGTACAGCCAGCCAAACTGCCAGACAAACAAACGAACAAACAAACAAATAAACAAACAAACAACCAACCAAACAAACAAACAAACTCACCAAACAATTGAGCCAAACAAACAAACAAACAAACAAACAAACAAACAACGCTAAAACAAACCAAGAAAATGCAAGCAATCAAACACCCCTAAACAAAACTTCACAAAACAAAACAAGAAGCAAGCAAGCCAGCCAGCCAGCAAGCAAGCAAGCAAGCAACCAACCAAGCAAGCAAGCAATCAAGCAAGCAAGCCAGCCAGCCAGCCAATAGACAAGTAGGCAAGCAATCACTTTTTGTCTGTACATATGCCTCCTGCCCCACCCCCGACGCGCGCGCACTCACGCGCACACACACACAAATGCACGCGTGCGGCCACGCCCGCACACACACACACACTTAACATGCCCGTCGGTTGATGATTCGGCCGGTGTGGTTCAGCTCCATGCAGAAAGCTTGCATTTGAGGGTCTGAGGGTTGGCAGCAGGCGGCTCAGCCATGCAATGCAGGCAACATTACTATATATTTCTGAACTGTGTACTGGGAGCACGACATATGACCGCGTTCCTTTGGAAAGCCTGGTGGCAACCAAGGTGGAGCAATCCAATTCTACTTCTAGGTCCTCATCCTTTAGGCCCCAAGTGCCTCAGGCCGGGGCCCAGGAACAAGATCTTCGCATTCTTGTTGCTGAGGCCCAGGTATCCGAGCACGTCGAAGAACCTTACTCAAAGTTAAGCAGATCCGCAGGTTTCTCCTGCTTCAGCCGACCCAATGATCGGGATGTGATCTGCTTGTCAGCAAAGCAGATGTGGACAGGCTGAATTTGATTGTGACCAGGGCGCCAGTTGCGGTGGCGGAAGCAAACACATGGCCCGCACGCGAAAACAAATCGTGAGTTGACGAGGGAAGGTCTCTAGTCTTGCACAGTGCGGAGCGTGGGTATCTGCTTCAATCGTTAGGCCCTGGCCAATTATGTATAGGGCCCGATTTGCATTCCCCACAAAGAACACCCGAGGTTTGCCCATGGTGCAGCATCCTGTGCAGTCAGCTGACCCAAGAGCTCAGGTCCAAGTCAGTACCAGACGTCCAGCACAACCAGCTTCGCAAGCTGAAACTGAGCTGGTCGTTTTCCCGTTTTTGCAAGTTGGGAAATTGGCCTTGCAATGAAAGAGCCCTAACCACGCCCGTTTCGAGATCAAAAGCCACTCGCAGTCGCATGTGTCCAGGGACGCAGCCAGTTGACCAGGAACATGGCAGCCTGCGCGCAGGCGAACTCTGCAACTTTTGCGCTGTAGGAAGCACAGTATGTATCTTGTCTGTCAAACCAAGAAAAGGCATGTGATTTGAAGTGGAGGAACTACCCCGCGACACTGGCAACGTGGCTGGCTTTCTCGCTTGTGGCGGGTAGTTCATCCTCATCCCCAGACATTGCTGGAGAAGCTTGGATTCTAGTTGCATGTCTTTGTCTTCTTTTTGTGCAGGAAAAGACGTGACGCAATCAAGGCTCTGTTTTTTGTGCGGCTGTCAAAAATGAGACAAGGATTGACTGCCCATGCGACCACAGTCCACTCTACAAAGGTGGGTTCCATTTGTCGGTTACCCGCTAGACTCCATCCCGGGGGTTCCTCCACCCTTGGACTTTATGTTTGGGTTTGTTCAAGAGGAAACCCCGTCCACGCACCGCCTGCGCTTCAGCTTCTGAAAGTCCAGGGCCGTCTGCGAACGTTTGAGCCACCAGTGAGTCTGCGCCAGGCACGCCAAGACGATCGCCGAACTTGCCACAGTGTTTAAAATTCGGGATGGTGTTGACAGGCAGCCTCAATGTTGAATCAAACTTCATCGGCACACTTGGCTAGAGAAATTGACCTCCCCAGAGTCCTGGTGTTTGCAATGAAGAGAGCTGCCGAACCAACTGCCCGGAATTCGGGGCAAACCGCGTTCAAGAGAAACCCTGTCGCCGGCGCGTTGGCCCTGCGGCCTCCGACTCAACGGACGCATTTCTTGGCTCGGTCACGGCTTCATCTAAGTGCAGGCCCCATCCCTCGACGCTGCCCGATCCGCTTGGAGCTATCTTAAAAGTGCAGAAATGACTTGCTGAGTGAAAGCCCAAACAAAACTGCATTTTCATGCGCCTGGCCAAGCCTTGATCGTGCATAACGCTACATCGCGGCTCATGATACTTCCCATTCAGCCTTGGCGCTCGGCGCCTGGCAGTCGATGCGGGCCCTAAGGACTGGCTGACTTGACCGCAAAACAAGGAACTCCCCAGCTCACAGATCATGCCCTGGGTCGGTTTGTCGTTGAATCTTTCGGAGGAGGTTTGCCGTCCTGAAGCTGGAACGAAGTGCGAGTGAGGCAACCAATGAGTCTCAATTGCAAGCTTTGCTCAGTAGCAGCCCGTCCGACGCTTGAAAGCATGTTCTGAATCAGGATTCTACGGCCAGTTGCTTGCGCGCCTTTGCTTGGACTGGTTGTGTTTCAAGTGAACGAGCCAGCGAGACATCCTGCTTTCACTCAACCTGCTGCAGGCACAAGTCTGCATGTATTAACCTGCTTGTCTCAAAAACAAGGAGAGCCGGGGAACCCAAAAACCCAGATGCGAACGAATATTTGTGAATGACTGTCAGCGAACTGCTTGCTCAAGCAGTTTGCAGGGAGGAGCTTGTGGGCGACACAGGCAGACCGACAATGCCGCTATTGCTGCTGCGTGGATTTTGCCTTTTTGCTATGGCCTTTTTTGAGGGCTCCACGGACAATTGGGTCTTTGCAAGCAGCAAAAGCTCTTAGGTTGCAGCCTTGCACAGAGCTGCAATGCATGGGACCGGAGCAAGAGAAATGCGAATCCAGGACGCGGCATTCGAAATTACATCGTTGCAGCATGCCATGGCTTGTCACGTTTTCTCGGAGCTTCTTGCGGGTTGTGTTCGGAAAAGGGATGTCTCCCAAGCACTTGTCCGAAGGGCATCACTTCGCGCGAACATGCACGTTCACTTTGTCTTTTGGACTCCCGGGGAAGCAGCAGCCTTTTGTTGAAATGCTTTTGGGCTAAAAGGTGGTTCATGGGGGACGGCGGCCTGCTCGCGCCACGCGCGCACGCACCGCGCGCGCGCGCCTTTCCATGTGAAGTTGAGCGCGCGGCGCGAACAGGCTTGCCCGATCTTGCCGCGAACAGGCTTGCCCGATCTTCCCCGTCACCTCGGCGCTGGCAAATCACCGTCACACGCCGCCGTCACCTCCATCCTTGCCGCCTCCGTCAAGCCGAATCTCACCGACGAGATCCTACCGGCACGCGGCCTCCAGCACGTCCCGTCACCTCGGCGCTGGCTGCATCCGCAGAAGCAAATCCCACCGGCACACGCCGACTTCACCTCCATCCTTGCCGCCTCCGCTCCCTGGAGCCAAATCCCACTGGAAAACGAACGACCGCGCCTCGTTATCGCTGCGCCTCTGTGGGCCAAATCCCACCGGCACGCGGCCACCCGTCCTTGCCGCCTCCGCCAAGCCAAAGCCCACCGGCACGCGGATGACCCCAGCTCATTCTTGCTGCTTTCCTGGAGCCAAATCCCACCGGCAAATCCCACCGGCACATGCCGCCGTCACCTCCGTTCTTGCCGCCTCCGACAACCCAAATCCCACCGCGCGGATGACCACAGCTCATTCTCGCTGCCTTCCTGGAGCCAAATCCCACCAGCACACGAACAACCGCGCCTCGTTATCGCTGCGCCTCTGTGGACCAAATCCCACCGGCACGCGGCCTCCCGCACCTCGCTGGTTGCATCCGCAGAAGCAAATCCCACCGGCCACGCCGCCGTCACCTCCATCCTTGCCGCCTTCGCCAAGCCAAAGCCCACCGGCACACGGATGACCACAGCTCATTCTCGCTGCGCCAAATCCCACGTTATCGCTGCGCCTCCGTGGGCCAAATCCCACCGGCACGCGGCCTCCCGCACCTCGCTGGTTGCATCCGCAGAAGCAAATCCCATCGGCCACGCTGCCGTCACCTCCATCCTTGCCGCCTTCGCCAAGCCAAAGCCCACCGGCACACAGATGACCGCAGCTCATTCTTGCTGCTTTCCTGGAGCCAAATGCCACCGGCACACAACGACCGCGCCTCGGTATCCACCGGCACGCCTCCCGTCACCTCGGCGCTGGTCGCAATTGCCGGCACAGTCACGGTTGTCCCGGATTCAGCCGGCAAGCCGCGCAAGGTCGTCCCGGCAATTCAGCCGGCAAGCCACTCGTTCGGCCATTTCCCCGCCAGCGGCGCCTGCACGGTATGCTGCAAACTCGGTACACAACTCGGCACACTTGAGACCGGTCACGTTCTTGGCGGCGCTTGCGCGGTATGCTGCAAACTCGGCCCTGCGGTATGCGGTAAACTCGACCGGTCCCGTTCTTGCCGGCAATTCAGCCGGCAGGCCGCCTGTTCGGCCATTTCCCGCTGGCGTTTACACGGCGTGCTGCAAACATGGCACACTTCAGCCCAAAACCTGCCGATCCTCGCTCCCTCGCGGTTAGACAACTAAACGAGAACCCAACCACAGAGGGCCCGACGCAGGCGCGGCCTCAGCTCTGCTTCGGAGCTGGCTCGGCCTCTGCTAGGGGTTTCAACCTCCGCTTTTGGGCGTGCGCTCAGCCGCGGCTGGCTCGGCCTCAGCTCTGTTTCGGGCCAAAGCACGGCCTCAGCTCTGTAGCTGTCACACCTTCAGCGCTTTGTTCGGGTCACCCCCAGCAGCCGGAGCGGCCTCAGAAGCTGTTCCATCACATCTGTACAAATCTTGCAGCTCATCCTGAAAGCACAAAAAAATCACGGGCAGCTTTGCACGGAGACTGCTATCCCAGGGTTGTTTACGAAGCTGAAGGAGGCGTCTGTGAAGACGCCTCAGACGAACCAACTGCACCGGTTCTGGTCCAGCAGACGCCTTAGAGCGCCGTGACGAATAACGGGGCTTCCAGGAAGTCTTCATGGGCCAAGGCATCGTAATGCCGTGGATGAACTCTCAGGTTTCCAGACGTCAACGTGCGGAGAAGCTGTACGATGACTTGGCCAACCTCCTTGCGCAGCTGGGCCTTTTCTGGGATCTGCAGCAGCTGATTTGGGAAAGGCCTCGGAATCCGGTGAGTGCGCTTCGCAACCTGGTGCACAAGTGTGCCAATAAAGCAGGTGAACAACAACCGCAGCACTCTGAATGGGACATGCCGCCGGTCACGCAGTACATCTATGGCCATGCTGGGGTGCAGTCAGACACTTCGTGGCGGGCGCCTGCCTCAGGATGGAACGCAGCAGTCGAGGATGAGTGGCAGATGGTATTTCGGGGGCGCCGAAAGCCTCAACCTTGCGCTGCTGTCCGCAAAGTGTTCCTAACTGATGCCAACAAGAAGCCAGATAAGGGAGAGCAAAGCCGAACGCGGCAACTGCTGGCCCAAGCAATTGGATCCCACGCCTGGACCTGGAGGAAAACATGCCTGCATCCAGGGACTCGTGCGCCGTCTCGCAAGCTGCTGCGGCTTTGGGCGTCAGCGATACCAAGCATGGAGGCAACCGATGGTTCGTGCAACACCTCAACAAGCAGCAGGTAATCGAAGGTGTGCCCCAGCTCGTCACCGATTGGGATGGCGAGCATCATGCCGAAGTTCACCCCCGTGTCTCGCATGGAGCTTGGCAGAAGGCTCTGAGGAAGGAAGGGATGGGCCCGAGATTTAGGGCGCGACGAGTTTTCAACCTCAACAAGTATATGGCAGTGCCCTTTCGCATGCAGGATATGCAGAACGCTGGCTTTCAGGCCTTCACCTGGGCACGTGTGGTTGTGCGAGGAATGACTAAGCGCGCCAAGCCGGAAGGTAAGGGTGCCCTGAATGTGCAAAACTTCTGCGTGTTGAAGCTGCACAGGTGTGGTGCGCACCACCATGGTCAGGCCGCGGCTTACAAGCTTCGGCTGAAGCGGCTTGAGGAGGCAAGGAAGTGGAGGATCACTTTGGGGCGCACGGTGTGCTGCTGGAGACACATCGGTCCACTTTCAACAAGACACAGGTTGTCCTGCTTGGCAAATCCAGTCGCCATGATTAGGTGTGCTACTTTCAACGTCCCGGCGATCGCGGGCAAGCTGCCTGTTGTCTTTGACATCTTTTCTTCCTACACCATCCAGGTTGCCGCTTTGCAGGAGGTGGACATCGTTTCCGCTCTTTGTGTTTGCAGAAAGGCATCTTTGTGGTGTTTGGATTGGGGAAGGTGGAGTCACCAAGACAGCCTTGTTGTCTACCTTACCAACTTCACCTGTGTTTTTGGAGACTTCCTGGCCGGACCGTGTGGCTGCTGGCGTGGTGGAGGTCCAGGAGTGCAATGGCCCGAACTGGGTGCACCAACAGATCTTTCTAGCTTCAGTTTATTGCCATGCTTCCGATAGCGCAGCAAGACCAAGACTTTGCACAGAGGTTCTTGACTTTGTGACGGGTTCTGGCTTCCTGTGGTTGACCCTGGGTGACTTCAATCAGGAGGCGGATGACCAATGTTTCTCCCCTTACGTTTCCGCTGGAAGAGCTCCGTGATGGCCACAAGCGCATTGATTTTGGCCTTTCACACCGTTCTCTTGTTCCTGTACAGCGTCTCCAATCGCAGGACATTGATTTTGGGATTACGGATCATGATCTCGTTGCCTACGACTTCGAGTTCAAGCCAATCTCGCACGGCCGGTTTGGGCCGAAGCGCCGCAGGAAGATGTGGACAATGCGTGGTCGCTCTCTCTGTGAAGAGGAGCATTTTGGCTCCCACGACAGCCATCGCCAGGATCCCGTTGACAATCCCGAGGAAATAGTGCCACCACTTGTGAAGAGAGAAGCTGGGGCACAAAAATGCCTGGAGCGCCACCGGACCCTTCGATTCCACCTCTGTCTGCAATCACCAACCCTGTGAGCAGACCATGCAAAAGCCGACATCCAGAGAGCCAAGCAGTAGGAATGCAAAGGCCGTCTGGCAGGATGCCGACGTGATCAGGCAGCTCATGCGCGTAGTAGGCACCCGCATGCAAAAGGCCCAAAGTGTAGAACACGAATTTAAGAAAGACCCCGATGCAACCCGCAAAGAGGAACAGGTAGCAAATCACCTCCGAGTAGAAAACGTTCTTGCAGTAGGCGAGCATGAGCAAAAACAAGAACAAGGCAGTGCTCGCCCCAACACACCACGCAGACTCTTCGTACCAGCAGCGCTGGCCCGCATGCACCGAGGGCATGAAGTGCAGGAGGTGATCTGCGTGCATGCTAAAACTTGTTACACTGCTCGATGAACCAGTTTGACGCTCGGACCCCGATCCTCAGGTCTGGGGATCCAATCGCTTGGTTGGAGGCCAGCAGTTGCCGCGTTCGGCTTTGCTCTCCCTTATCTGGCTTCTTGTTGGCATCAGTTAGGAACACTTTGCGGACAGCAGCGCAAGGTTGAGGCTTTCGGCGCCCCCGAAATACCATCTGCCACTCATCCTCGACTGCTGCGTTCCATCCTGACGAAGTGTCTGACTGCACCCCAGCATGGCCATAGATGTACTGCGTGACCGGCGGCATGTCCCATTCAGAGTGCCGCGGTTGTTGTTCAGCTGCTTTATTGGCATACTTGTGCACCAGGTTGCGAAGAGCACTCACCGGATTCCCAAGGCCTTTCCCAAATCAGCTGCTGCAGATCCCAGAAAAGGTCCTCCACACCTCCATTTGCAACTTCTTCCTCTCCATCATCCTCCTCACCACCCAGCTGCGCAAGGAGGTTGGCCAAGTCGTCGTACAGCTTCTCCGCACGTTGACGTCTGGAAACCTTAGAGTTCATCCACGGCATTACGATGGTCTTCTTTGGGCATAGCAAACCCACGCCTTGGCCCATGAAGAAGCGCATCGCGACAGCCATCGCCAGGATCCCGTTGACCATCCCATAGCCTTATCTTCAAGGGAAGCCAAAGGAAAGCTGGCCATGTCTTCTCTTTTCCCCAGCAGCTCAGCTAGAGGGTCTCTGCTCAGACAAGCTATGGCGTGGTCCGAGCAGCTCCGGGAAGGTTCCGGAGGGTTCCGGGTTCCGAGAGTTGCTGCATCGGTTCCGGGCGGTGCCGGCGGTTTTGAGTGGCTCCGAGTGTTGCGCAAAGGTCCGAAGGTTTCGCAGGGGTTCAAGGCGTGGCGCAAGGGTTCCGGAGATTTGCTGGGGATACCATCTGGGCTGATTTCTGTAACTTCCCCGCAGTGTTCGTTTAATTGTACGGTCCCCTGGGCATCTGGCATGCATTCTTGGCCATGAAACTGCCATTTCCCCCCAGTTAAGGTCTCCTTGAACATCATCCCACGAGCAAACTCATCTGACACGGGCCCAAAAGGTGATATTAAAACAACAAGTGGAATATTGGGACGAGTCTTGGCTTCGACCATGGATGAATAGCTTGACGGTTTCAAACATTTCAACACGTTGAAACTTGAAGCTTGAATCTGCTGTGTTGAGACGCTTGCCACATCTCGAAAGATTGGAACTCCGAAACAAAGTAAAGGCTGTACAGACCTCTGCCAAATGTGAAGGTGACAAAATTGGCCATGCCCCATGTCTGTCATGCTGCCCAAATCGGCAAAGAAGTCCGCAATGGGAAACATCCACGCTACGCATCCCAAGCTTGTCTCAGGTGTATCGGGACGAAGTCTGCCAGGCACTTCTGTGCAAAGAAACAGGGAGTCCGGCAACCCTGCAATGCGCACATTGCCAACGTCGCCTAGGCTCTCCCGGCTCTCCCCCACGCGCCAGCCGCTTGGGTAAGGCGCGCCTTGATTTTTTGAGCTGCACAGGTGTAGGTTTGAGAGTTTGACCGCAGGCATCGCGCGCGTTTTCGCACATGCAAGGCACTCTGTGCTTGCATGATAGCGCTAGCTTGCGGGTGATGTCACATGGTGACGGTGTGCCTTCAACCAAACATCAAAGACCCCAAGAGCCAGCATAAGCCATAAGCTGACCTCTGCTCTTGGTTGAGAAGCGCTCGAAAAATGGGTTGTGAGTACGCTGCAAACTGTATTCGAAGGCACTTACAGTAATTACATGCATCAAACTAGAACGAGGTGTTGCAGCCCGAGCGCATGTAATCTGAACACAAAACTGAGAAAGAAACTTGGGACGAAGCTCCCGGAGGAACAAAAATGCTACGCACATATTCAGGGCAGTTCAGGCTGACATCGACCTCCTCGGAAACTCAGGCTGCGTTTGGCTCCGCCCCTTTCATGCCATCATCCTGGATGTCTTGGGCCTTTTTCACATCCAGGTTGAGCAGGTCGGGCGCCTGCGAGAGAGCCTCTTCCTCCTCCTCCTCCTCGTCAGGAAGGCTGTCCAAGAGCTGCAGCTCTTCGGCAGTGAACATGTATTTCAAGGCCTTGCGGATGATAGCCAAGGACGCCATGAAGAAGGGGAAGACCACAGAGGTCTCCTTGATGGCCTTGAGGCCGTACAGGATTGCCAGGCAAACCACCTGCACGAAGGTGTACAAGTGGACGCGCTTGATGGGCAGCTTCTGGATGTAGTTGTACTGCGGGTACTTGGAAGAGTCCCAAATCATCCAAAGGAAAAGGCGGTCGAAGAGGTTGTTGCCGGTCAAGGACGCGATTCCCATGTAGAAGAACACGCCCTGCAGCACGGCGCGAGGCAGAAACTTGAGCACCGGAGCCATGAAGAGCGCGCAGCCAATGAGCACATGGATCAAGAAGTTGGTGGCACGTTGCTCGACGACCTTGGAAGGCACCTTGGTCTCGCCCTGTGGGAGCTGCTTCACCTCGTAGGTGGTGAGCGAGATCACGTGGGTGATGCTGGGCACAGTTGAGGCCACAGACAGGGGCAGGCCCAGCACGGCGCAGGCCGGCAGCGTCAGGGCGCCGCGCACAAACAGGTCCAGGTGGTAGCCAGGCTTGACACGTTGGAGGAGACGCAGGGTGCAGCCAAAAGGCTCCCTAGCGGCTCCACGCGCCATCCAGCTCAGGCGTCAGACGCCCACCACCCACGAGCGATAGAAGCGGCTCCGGCAACCGCGTTGACGGCCTTGACCTCCCATTGCGTGGCAGCAAGCTTAGCTCGCGCCCACTCCTGACGAGCAGACCCACGGAGTAGCAATCGCGCCTTCCAGCGCGCCGCCTCATCGGCGTCCTCATTGAGTCCACGAAGCATGGCCTCCGAGGCGACCGGGTGCGGCGCCCATTCACCGCTAACCTTGCCGTGCGATGGGACCCAAAAGAGCTCGACCGACAGGGTCAGAGCACAAAGCCGTTGGAAAGCATCAAAGGCGCGTCGCGCCAGTAGCTTGCAAGAACCACCACCTTTCAAAGTTTTGATGGCAGCTTGGCAGTCGAGGACAAACACAAAAGAGACACGTGAAGCGGCTCCTGCACATAGTCGAGCAGCGTCAGCAGCAGCCTGAAGGGCGAGGACGCCAGCTTCAACCTCAGCCCGGTAAGCGGTCTGATCTTCACCAGTGACAGCTGAAACAAAAGTTGGGCATCCCGGGGTCGCAATGGCAAAAGCAGCGACCTCATCAATCTCGGAACCATCTGTGGCAACGAAGAAGTGGGAAGGCTGTTCCTCAAGTCTTGTGCGAAAGGCATGGACAAGCTGCTCAAAGGCCAGAGGACGGGGGTCCCTTGGCGCAGCAGGTTGTTCAGGGAGGACCTTGGTAAAGAGACGCTCCTCTGCTCGGTTACTGGGGAGAGGAACTCCTTCTCTTGCTGAAGCAGTCGCCGGACATGTCCACACCAAGTGGGGCCGAGAAGGCGTGTGCTTGCCACATGCGCACTGACGGGCTGCGTCACCATGGGGTTGCCTCCGAAAACCGGGATGGAAGTGCCACCAGCTGCATCCCGTAGCCAAGCACGCAAGGAACAAATCCCTTTTGTCCGTCGCCTGCTTGAAACACTGTCTGTGGCCTTGGTAACAAGGAACTCCGGGAGCAGGAGGAGGCAGTGTCAAACCTTGAGCCAGTGGCTGATCTGCATTTGCCTGGCGTCGAAAGCCACGAAACACCCTGGCCGACGCCTTCAAAGAGTCGCGCCGGCTCCTTTCTTTAAGCCACCGAAGAACACAAGCAAAGTTGTCAACCCCAAGCTCGAAGGTGCGCTGCTGCCCATGCTGATCCCGCCTATGAAGGAGAGCTCCATCAGGCGATGCCCACCATCCAAGGTCATTGGCTGCGGCCGCAGCGCAAGGGAGTTGCTGAAACCACTTTCCAAAGACAAAGTCAAGAGGTGCATCTTCCCAGCACTGTTTCAACGAGCTGCGGTGCCTAACTGCAGCTCGGAAATGGGCTGCAGCTGAGGCGAAGAGAGGCTCGACTTCCCACCCAAGGAGCTCAAAAAGGATGCCCCAAGGCACGTCTGGCGGCAAAGTGGCGCCAAAGGAACTCACAACTGCACTGCGTATACTCTTCAAAACATCCGGTGTCAATGCTGCCAAGCCAGCAGCCCAAGTGAAGGTTGGGTTCACGAGGCATCGCAGCAAGCGTAAGCGGGCCTTCCATGAAGCAGCCACGCGGGCAATGGCAGTTATGCGGAAAAGCACGAGCTGCATGTCAAACTTTACCAGCTGTGTGGCCATCGGTTCATGAAGGTCAAACTGTAACCCAAGAAAGGTGAGTTTGTGGTCGAAGGCGTAAGGGAGGTTGCTTAGCCCAAAATTTTGGGCAACATCCGAGCTCAAAGCTGCAATCCCGCACTTCTCGGGTCGGCACCTAAGCCCAAACACACTGTCAAATTCCTCCGATTTCCGCATTGCCAGCTGCAAAAGGGGGGCTTGGGAAACATTCTGGGCCCACAAAACCCGATCGTCAACGAAAACGGCACAGCCGAGGCCGGGCTGCTGGACTGCGCAAGTCCACGGCAACATCACCGCTGCCGCGATCATAGGCGAAAGAGGGCATCCTTGCAAAATGCCCCGCCCTGCTTTGCACCATTGTGAGCCATGATAGGCGCCCGAAGTAAAGACCCGGGATCCACGCAAATAAAACTGGTCAATAAGGCGAACGAGCGCAGGAGGGGCCTTCAAGTGCGAGAGGACCGCTATTGCCTGCTGCACCTGGATCGCATCAAAAAAACGATGGATATCCTGGCGCACAAACACGCCATGCTTAGCTCGCTGCGCGACCGCATGGTTGATGCGGATGAGGCAATCTTCGACGCCTCTACCAGCCAAACCGCCAAACAGGTGATCGCCCGCCCAACTGCTCAACCACGGCTTCAGGGTCTGCAAAAGCGCTCGCGAGCCAGCGCGCCACAATACCGATGTCAAAGCAAGTGGCCGCCAGCCCCCTGCGTCTTTGGGAATGAGCACTATCTTGGCCTCAACCCATCGGCGGGGAATGCATCCGGAAGAAATCACATGGGCCCACAAATCTTCAAGGCATGACCACCAAATCGGTCCCATTCTCAAAAGATCTTTGGCGCGCCAGTCATCAGGGCCAGGGGCCTTGCGCGTCATAGCCTGCATGGCTTGCAGCAGGTCAGAGCCCTTTGCTGAGAAGGCAACAGCCTCATTAACGTTGTTTGGGACGTTGCGAAGAAAACTTTGGAATTCCTCGCCTGTGCCACGTCCAGATTCCTGGCCCCAAACCGCTGTCCACTCTCGCTGCTGCTCATCAACTGCTATGGAAGGGTGGACGGCTGAAGCGCTAACACCCTTAGAAGATGGCGCAGGGCGCGCCGCACGACTCTCCTGAGCACGGGTCAAGGCAAACCGCTTGACCCATGCACGCTGCTGGCCTTCATCTGCAGCCATCCGGGCCTTCCAAGCCTTTAGGCGCTGAGAAAAAAGTTGCCGCTCACATTGAGTGACTGCCGCTGCCACCACATCAACGAGGTCTTCCAGGCAGTCTTCCTCAGCTCTGCTGCGCGCATTCAGCCCAGCCGGAGCTGGCTCGACCTCAGCTCTGTTTGGGGGCTCCATCCCAGCTGGAGCTAGCACAGCCTCTGCTCTGCTTTGGGCTCCCAGCCCAGCCGGAGCAGGCTCGGCCTCTGCTCTGCTTCGGGGCACAGCCCCAGCCGGAACTGGAACGGCCTCAGCTCCACTTGCAGCCGGAAACGGCGCAGCCTTTGTCCTACTTCGGGAAGCCGAACCCGACGTAGGCGCGGCCTCAGCTCTGCTTCGGGCATGTCGCCCAGCCGGAGTTGGCTCGGCCTCAGCTCTGTTGGGGGTTTCAACCCCAGCCGGAGCTGGCACAGCCTCTGCTCTGCATTGGGCACCCAGCCCAGCCGGAGCAGGCTCGGCCTCAGCTCTGCTTCGGGGCACAGCCCCAGCCGGAACTGGAACGGCCTCAGCTCCGCTTGGGGCAAGCGCCCCAGCCGGAACTAGCGCAGCCTTTGCCTTGCTTCGGGATGCCAATCCCGACGCAGGCGCGGCCTCAGCTCTGCTTCGGGCATGTCGCCCAGCCGGAGCTGGCTCGGCCTCAGCTCTGTTAGGGGTTTCAAACCCCGCCGGAGCTGGCACGGCCTCAGCTCTGCTTCGGGCCCCAGGCCCAGCCGGAGCTGGCTCGGCCTCAGCTCCGCTTGGGGCACACGCCCCAGCCGGAGCTGGCGCAGCCTTTGCCTTGCTTCGGGATACCAATCCCGACGCAGGCGCGGCCTCAGCTCTGCTTCGGGCATGTCGCCCAGCCGGAGCTGGCTCGGCCTCAGCTCTGTTAGGGGTTTCAACCCCCGCCGGAGCTGGCACGGCCTCAGCTCTGCTTCGGGCCCCAGGCCCAGCCGGAGCTGGCTCGGCCTCAGCTCTGTTTGGGGCCAAAGCCCCAGCCGGAGCTGGCACGGCCTCAGCTCTGCCAGGGGCCCCAGCTGGCACAGCCTCAGCTCTGCTTCGGGGCATCCCCCCAGCCGGAGCTGGCTCAGCCTCAGAAACTGGTCCATGACATCTGTACAAATCTTGCAGCTCATCCTGAAAGCACCGAAAATCACGGGCAGCCTTTGCACGAAGATTGCTATCCCAGGGTTGTCTACGAAGCTGAAGGAGGCGTCTGTGAAGACGCCTAAGACGAACCAACCGCACCGGCTCTGGTCCAGCAGACGCCTTGGAGTGCCGTGACGAAAAACGGGGCTTCCAGGAAGCGGAGCGCGGCGTGAAGCCAAAATGCTTCTCATCACAGAGGGCGTCCTCCGCAAAATCAGAGAGGAGCGACCACGCATTGTCCACATCTTCTTGCGACAATGCAATTTTAACCAATTGACACAAAGTTTCACTGCAGTCAAACTTCTCAACGCCATCTGCAGCAGAGATCAGACGGCGCTTCGGCCCAAACCGGCCGTGCGAAATTGTCTTGAACTCGAAGTCGTAGGCAACGAGATCATGATCCGTAATCCCAAAATCAATGTCCTGCGATTGGACACGCTGTACTGGAACAAGAGAACGGTGTGAAAGGCCAAAATCGATGCGCTTGTGGCCATCGGCTCGGGTGGATTCAGGGAGCAAAGCAAAGGCATCATCCACACAATGAGCTCTTCCAGCGGAAATGTAAGGGGAGAAACATTGGTCATCCGCCTCCTGATTCCAGTCACCCAGGGTCAACCACAGGAAACCAGAACCCGTCACAAAGTCAAGCACCTCTGTACAAAGTCTTGATCTTGCTGTGCCATCGGAAGCATGGCAATAAACTGAAGCTAAAAAGATCTTTTGGTACACCCAGTCCGGGCCATTGCACTCCTGGACCTCCACCACGCCAGCAGCCACACGGTCCGGCCAGGAAGTCTCCAGAAACACAGGTGAAATTGGTAAGGTAGACAACAAGGCGGTCTTGGTGACCCCACCTTCCCCAACGCCTCCAAACACCACAAAGAAGCCTTTCTGCAAACACGAAGTGCGGAAACGAGCACGGGTGGCTTCGTTGATATCCACCTCCTGCAAGGCGGCAACCTGGATGTTGTAGGAAGAAAAGATGTCAAAGACAACAGGCAGCTTGCCCGCGATCGCCGGGACGTTGAAAGTAGCGCACCTAATCATGGCGACTGGATTTTGGGGCGCCAAGCAAGACGACCTTTGTCTCGCTGAAAGTGGACCGAAGTGTCTCCAGCAGCACGCCGTGCGCCTCAAAGTGATCCTCCGCCCACTTTCTTGCCTCCTCAAGCCGCTTCAGCCGAAGCTTGTAAGCCGCGGCCTGACCATAGTGGTGCGCACCACACCTGTGCAGCTTGGCCTCTCTCAGGACGCGGAAAACGGCACGGCAAGTTTTGCACACCCAGGACCGAAGAAGTTGCAACGCCGCACCCTTACCTTCTGGCTTGGCGCGCTTAGTCTTTTCTCGCACAACCACACGTGGCCAGGTGAAGGCCTGAAAACCAGCGTTCTGCATATCCTGCATGCGAAAGGGCACTGCCATATATTTGTTGAGGTTGAAAACTCGTCGCTGCGCCCTAAATTTCGGGCCCATCCCTTCCTTCCTCAGAGCCTTCTGCCAAGCTCCATGCGAAACACGGGGGTGAACTTCGGCATGATGCTCAGCTCGCCACTTCGTGAGAAGCTTGCTCGGCTTATCAGCAACCTCATCCTGGGGCCAACCCATCTTGCAGTATGGGCAAACCCATGCGAGAAGCTGGCCGCTTCCAGCCAAAACCAAAGGGGGGCGCTGGTGCTTTCGGGCCACTTGCTTGCGAACTTCAGGATGAGCGCGCCGCATGTGGCTCAAACGCCCGCGACTGGCTTGTCCGCGGGTCTCATAACTCACAGCGAAAGGGCAGAGGTCACACTCATACTTGAAAGTGCCATGGAAGGCGTACTTGGACTTGCTCGGGACCTCAACCGCATCCGGATCCGCAACGCTCCCTGGCAAAGAAAGGGCCGGAGATCGCATAGCCGAGCTTGAGGACAGGGTGCGCACCTCGGCTGGTGAAGGATCGTACCAGTGGGATCTGCTTTTCCGCTCGGTGCCAGACTTTGTGCAGCCGCCGATGGCGCTGAGCTTCGCGCCATTGTGCGTCCGGCCCCCCAACACGCTCGTGTGTCCTCCCAGAGTGCTCGGGGCCGGGACTCCGCCGCGATCAGCGGCATTGCCTATTGGAGCGGCCGTAGCCTTGGCCCGGTCCGCGGGGCCAACTGCTCCGATCAGCGCCTGGTAGTGGCGGTTCATGAACCAGAGAGCAAGCGGCTTGCCCTTGGCTGAGGGATTGAACACCCTCACGCCGTCGGCCTCCTCCGGCCGAAACACGAAGATCGGCTGCGCCAGGGTCGCAGCAAGGGCAGCGACTTCTATCGAACCACCCCATGCACCATCGCGAGCGAGCAACCGGAGGTACTCTGCAAATCCTTTCACCTTCATGTCAGCGCCCTCGGCGCTCGGGGCGTCTCCCTTCCAGAAGCCTTCATAGGACCGAGCATGGGTGCGAAGGTGGGTCACTGCAAGGTTGCGAATCTCAGCAGGGGAGCGCTTTGAGCGACCTTGAGCTTCAAGCGCATCGGCAACAGCGGCAAAGAGACAGTTCCCGGCTCCCGGGTTGTCTTTGAGCTCCATTCCCAATGGGATACCATGCGAAGTGGTCTTGCATCGCTTGGATGGCGCCTCTGGAGTTTTTGGCTTAGTTTTCCCATCCAAGCCACGCTCGTCGTTGTTCCCGTCGTCCACCTCAATGTTCTGGTCTGCAGGTGGATCAGGTCCATGCGCAGGTGTAGCCGAAGTGGGAGTGGCTTTGCCTTTGCCTTTGGGTCCCTTGGGTCCCTTCTCCTTGGGCTGAGCAAAGATCTGTCGCCATTCAAGTGGGAGCGCCTTGCCCTCAGCGTAGGATCGCGTGCGACCAACTCTGGTGATCTCGATCTGCGCCTCAGCACCCTCCAGCTCAACGCTCCTGAAGTCCTCCTCCATGTTCATCACGGTGTAAAAGGTCCAGGCTGCGCCACCTTTCCAAGGAACCTTTTCGCTGACCTCAACCTCAACAAAGCCGCTGTCGGCCAGGAAGGCCTCAACCTCCTCGACGCACCAGTCCCTCGGAACTCCGGTTGCTCTCCATAGTCTCCTCACAGTTCTGGGCTTGTTGGTGTCCTCATCTGTGGCGGGTCGCCGAACACCTAAGCTACGGAAACCCCGAGCCAAACCCAACGACGACCCCTTCGTAGAGCTCCAGCACCTCGCCGCATAGGTCTGCCAGGTCTCATCATCCTTCCAGTCGACCCAATCGGTGACGAGCTGGGGCACACCCTCGATCACCTGCTGCTTGTTGAGGTGTTGCACGAACCATCGGTTTCCTCCATGCTTGGTCCCGCTGACGCCCAAGGCCGCAGCAGCTTGCGAGACTGTGAGGCGCACGAGTCCCTGAATGCAGGCATGTTTTCCACCAGGTCCAGGCGTCAACTCCCAACTCCAGGTGTCATGAACACGTCCAAAGGCCGCCGTAGCCCATTGACGGAAGGACTTGCCAGGGTTGCTGGTTGCCTGCTCCCATGCACTCTCTTTGTCAAAGTACACCCAGTCAGCGTGAGCACGAAGGACAACTGTCTCAGCCTTTGCACGCTCGGGGGGTTTGACTACTTTTGCTAGCTGCCGGAGTTCAGGGGCGGAAACGCCTGTCTGGCCCACCCAAGCACTGACCACCCGAAGCTGGTTGCGGTGGATCCCCGGCACCCTCATCTCCTGCCATGTGAGCTCGCTGAAGTTGAGCCTCTCCTCCTCCATCGCACCCTTGAGCAGGACCACAGTGAAGGCCAAGTCGGGGTCCGAAGACTGCACAAAGGTGCGGAACTTTTCCAGTTCTTCTCCACTCTGCGGGTATGCCAGTAGTTCAGCAGGCGCGTTGGCCAGCGCATCCCTGGCATGCTTCACCAGTTTGACGCTCGGACCCCAATCCTCAGGTCTGGGGATCCAATCGCTTGGTTGGAGCGGGCCAGCAGTCGCCGCGTTCGGCTTTGCTCTCCCCTTATCTGACTTCTTGTTAGCATCAGCGAGGAACACCTTGCGGGCAGCAGCGGGGGGTTGAGGCTTTCGGCGCCCCCGGGATACCATCTTCCACTCGTCCTCGACCTTGTGCTCAGCATCCATTGCTGCGCTCCATCCTGAGGCAGGCGCCCGCCACGAAGTGTCTGACTGCACCCCAGCATGGCCATAGCTGTACTGCGTGACCGGCGGCATGTCCCATTCAGAGTGCCACGGTTGTTGTTCGCCTGCTTTGTTGGCATACTTGTGCACCAGGTTGCGAAGAGCACTCACCGGATTCCGAGGCCTTTCCCAGATCAGCTGCTGCAGATCCCAGAAAAGGTCCTCCACACCTCCATTCTCAACTTCTTCCTCTCCATCATCCTCCTCACCACCCAGCTGCGCAAGGAGGTTGGCCAAGCCATCGTACAACTTCTCTGCACGTTGACGTCTGGAAACCTTAGCGCCCAGGCCTCCACCACCACCACGAAGTTCATCCACGGCATTACGATGGTCTTCTTTGGGCATAGCAAACCCACGCCTTGCCCCATGAAGAAGCGCATCACGACAGTCATCGCCAGGATCCCGTTGACCATCCCGAGGAAATAGTGCCACCACTTGTGAAGAGAGAAGCTGGGGCACAAAAGCACGGAAACGGTGCCTGGAGCGCCACCGGACCCTTCGATTCCACCTCCGTCTGCAATCACCAACCCTGTGAGCAGACCATGCAAAAGCCGACATCCAGAGAGCCAAGCAGTAGGAGTGCAAAGGCCGTCTGGCAGGATGCCGACGTGATCTTTGTTTGTCCGCCCTCGCTCCCACAGCGTCAGGCAGCTCATGCGCAGGCCGCGCATCATCCTCAAAAAGAGCCTTGCCGAAGTAACCCACAGAGAACAGGTAGTAGGCACCCACATGCAAAAGGCCCAAAGTGTAGAACACGAATTTAAGAAAGACCCCGAGGCAACCCGCAAAGAGGAACAGGTAGCAAATCACCTCCGAGTAGAAAACGTTCTTGCAGTAGGCGAGCATGAGCAAAAACAAGAAAAAGCCAATGCTCGCCCCAACACACCACGCAGACTCTTCGTACCAGCAGTGCTGGCCCGCATGCACCGAGGGCATGAAGCCCAGGAGGTGGTCTACGTGCATGCGGTGGTAGCCAGGCGCCTTCTTCAGCCCGTTCGATGGCCGGTTCACAATGATGCTCGTCAAGTTCTGGTCCAGGTAGCCCAGCACCGCAAAGCCAATGGAGGGGATGATGGCATAGGCAATGCCCCAGGCAGGAAATTGCCGATCAATGCCTGCAGGGTTCACGATCCAAGGCCTCTTGCTGCCGTCTGACAGGCTCAAGGCAGGGGCGAACTCGGCGTCCACGGTCAGCATCCGCAGCGACGTGTCGCTGGAGTAGAGGGCGGCAAGCGCGGACGCAGTGACCAGCGCGATTGTCACAGCGAAGTTGGCCATCAGGGTGCGGATGGGCCGGAGCAACCATGGTGTGCGCCGGAAATGGGACAGGTAGGTGGCAAGTCCGAATGTGTAGCCAAACAGCAAGGCCTCGAACATGGCGTTGGTCAAGGTCATCTCTTTGTCAGTGAAGTTTCGGATCATGGGCGACACGCCGTCAATGATGAAGATCAGGCTGATCAGGCCAGCAAAGATGTCCTCGCTGAACATGGTCACGTGCTTCATCAGGGCACACAAGTCAAAGACGGCCACAAGGATGGTGAACAACGAACACCACATGCAGACCCAGAAGTAGAAAGGCATGAACTCCAAATCCATCGCCTCTGCCATCTCAAAAACCACCAGCGTGTACGCCAAGAGGGCCAGTAGCACCTAGGATGGACAGAGGCTGCCCTGCGAAGCTAGAAAACAAAATGCCGCTGATGGCGGACGACATGATCATCTCCAAAACTCCAAACTGGCCCTTGGTGCCGTCCAAAAACCGGCTCCCGAAGGTGATGGCAGGGGCCAGCGCTGCGATGAACAGGTAAAGAATGGAGGACACGGACTTCTGGAAGTTCTCAGCCTTAAAGGCGTCCGTCCAGTCGCTGATGTACAGGGGCGCCCGCCTTCGCAAGTCAAGCCTCAGCCCGCCCCCAATCTTGCCCGTGAACTCCAAAGGACCGAAGTCCTTCTTGGCTGTGTGGGTGATGTAGCCCGACTCGTTGCGGATGACTGCTTCAGCCTCTGTCATAGCTCTGATCCAAGTAAGTGCGACGGTTTTGTTTCTGCGTCTGGCGTCCTTGAGCCTCTGCGTGGATTAGGTGCACCGGATGAATAACTTCTCAAGTTGGGTGTCAAGGCCACGAGCACCGAAAGCGAGCGGACTCAACAAGCAAGATCGCAAGTCGGGGCCTGCGGTGGCAGCTCCTCGCTTGGCCGCTGCCTGAACTGGTTCAAAAAAGGGATCCCGGTGCCGCCGGTGCTCTCAAAAGAATGCCAAAAAAGGATCCTCCTTGTGAACCTCAAATGAGAGCGTGCGTAACATGAAGGTCCACCCCCGATGTGGACATAAAAGCATGGTTGGAATAAAATGGGCCTCTGGATGGGGAACTCAGGCCGGGCGGCCAGACTGAAACACTGTTACCCTTACACCGACACACGAAACACAACTTTAATCCTCACCGCGAAACCTGCTTTGCGACAGTCCAAGGGCGGCACATGTCGCCCCAGGCCGCTGCGCGTACGCAGCTTGTGCACACCCCGCCGAAGTGAGTTGACATGTTGTTTGCTTGACCTCGCAAAGCATCTGCAAGAGAAGTGGTGTAGCGTGCGCCGCGTTGCGCTCTTCAAACAGAAATGAGATGCAAAAGGCACCCTGTCCAAGGTACCACTGAATCCGTCGCTGTCCCTCTCGACCCTTTTTCTCCCGGCTTGGACCCTCGGACCCTCGAACTTTCGGATTCTCGGACCCGGAAGGTGCTCGCGTTGTATATCCTGACTGACCTGTCTGGCGTTTCGGTGGGCAAGGTTCCAAAGCTTCATGCTGGGATGCATCTCAAACAGAGCCCACTCCGCGGCGAGAAAACCCAAAGCTGCTGACTTTCGTTTGTCGTAAACCC